AAGGGTTATTTGTCTTAGTCAGGGTTAATAGAAAAGCTGAATGCATTATGTTATGTTTCTGCACAGGCTAAATCCCATTTAAAAGAATTGTAAAGTAAAACTATTAATTTCATCTTTTTCCTCATGACGAGGCCTCAGTAGTGGAAGCACTTGAAATGTTACAGGGAACTTTGGGCTTAAAAGACGTAAAGAGGAAATTGAAATCCTGTTTACATTCCTGCCTTACATCATAGATCATCAGGGTGACAGAAACCATCCAATAATCAGACGCATCCAAAAATGAATGGTGGCTCCTATACAATAACACACACTGTAAATATTTCTGTAATACAGTCAATATATCTGTGGGCATCTCATATACAAGCATATTTGGCAGTTACTGAGCCAGGTAGTCAGAATACTGGATTTGCTCTGGAGACTCTTGATGATTACTTGCACTTTCTTTTTCTATCTGATTCATTTCTTTCCCTTTTATGCTTGTGTTATATTAGTTAGAAATCAGTTTGTATATTATGACATTTATACATTAAATGAGGCGTGTGCTTTAGCTTTTCTTCATGGAAGATGTGGTTGAAGGGAATATATGGGAAATGTATGATTTGTTGTTTTTTTTCTTTACAAACAACAAAAATTCAAATGTAAAATGCTTTTTGTTGCACAACAAAAAATGTAATGGTGCTTAACAAATTTCTTAGACCACCTGTCATTAAAAACTAGAAGTCACACATTTTTATAAATTTGTTACACTTATGTAAAACTAAAAATCATATTGTTATTTATTAGGCAAATAACAAACTGAACTCATGTTCTTATACCCAACTTTGGGCCAGCACACTGGGCATCTTTGAAAAGTTGGAACTTAATCAGGTATAACAATCAAATACTGAAACTAATTAATCTGTACAGTAATGCAAGTCAGTTACTGTAATTCGCCGTTTTACTCATCCACACACTGGTAGACTAACAGTTATAGAAAAAGTTTTTTAGTTACTACCAGAACAGCTGTGGAACCTTACATTAGGTGATCTAATAAACAAAAGCACTTACAACACTTTTCTGCTTTGGTTTTTCAATTTTCAGGAAGAATGTGCTTTTTCTTGTTTATTCTTTTTTTGCAACATTGTATTGTCCTTAAATTTCACATGACAAAGGTTGGGTCTAATTACCAGTTTAAAGGGACTGTATGATTGCAGTTTGTTTTTATGTGATGTTTTTGTTTATTGTTTGTTTATTTTAACTTGCCAAACAATTCAACCTTTGCACTAGATTATTTTTTTAATGTGCCTTTCTTAAACAGACAATGGAGAATAGTGAAAATGGCATGCTGTGAAGGTCCAGCTACAATCAAACCTAGAACTCATTACAGTGACATGCTCTATACCCAATAATGCTGTGCTTTTTATCTGATTATCCCTTGTAATAACATACTTCATATATAAAAAGTAATACAATGTGGTTATGTCATTATGTCCAATTTTACTAATGCCGTTTAATGCACTTGTCTGGTCTCCGTTGTGCAATTTCAATAAATTGTGGAACTGTGTGAATTTGCATCTGTCCTGTTCTTATAAAGGCAGTTAATCTATGTGACAGATTAACTGACGTTAATGTCAAACATCATGCAACAATTTTATGCTGTTACTGTACGTGGATATTACGCATTAAGGAAGGGAAGTTGACATTTGCAGTGTCATTATGTTGATTGTTTATTGTAGTGGGGCCTACAGTAGTAGTATAAATCACTTTATCAGTTTTTGTCACCATGTAAGGGAAGAAATGCTCATGCCTGTGGTATTTTGACATTTAAGCTGCCCAAACTGTTCCTCGGCATCCAGTAACACCAGTAACAGGCGGGGGACCTCCTTTGTGTTTGTGTGTCTGTTGTGTTTCCTTCCTCTTTGCTTTGTGTGGGTAAAATGGACACCTTCTTTTTATTCTGCCCGTAACAGATTTCATTATCTGTGTCTTCACAGGTTTATCAGATGAATTCCTGCAAAACCAAATCCAAGTTAAAAAACGTGTTTTATGTGCTGAAATCAATTTCAGTTGAAATTTAGTTTTAACAAAGTTGATATAGCCAAAATGTATTTTATGTCAATTACAGCCTGTTTGTATTCATCCTTCTTCTTAAAACAAAATGCCACTATTACCAATTATAACCAGATCTTTTAATCGTAACTTTTAACTCTCTTTACCATTTATCCATTTATTTAAATGCTACTGTTGCCTTTTTATTCTCTATTAATTTCACCCATTTAACCATTTGCCTGCTGCACTTTTCACACATTACTTTTAGGCCCTTGTTGCTACCTTATAGTGTCACCATTTAACCATTACTTTTAGAAGCAAGTACTCATAGCCTTTATTCTTAAGAGCTTTAAAAAGCTATTAGACTCCATTAGACTTGTTCAAATAAATGGAGCTTTTAACACCCTAAGGTTAATTAAGGAGTTCCACAGGGTTTTGTACCAGGCCCAGTTGTATTTACATTATACATATTTTAGGCAGTGTTGTACATCTTCACTGATATGCAATGATACCCAGCTGCAGATATCTATAAAGCCCAGTGACACACCAATTCGACTGCAAGAATGTGTTAAAGACAAAAAGGCCTGAATGACTAAAACTTATAAATTCAGATACTTTAAGAGGTTTTTTTTGTTTTGTTTTGTTTTTTTAATCACGATTTCAGAGTTGGTGTGTTCGATTTGCTTTTAACTTCAAAATTCAATGGATGTAATTTACATTTGTATATTTCTTGCTCTCAGCTACTTTAACCTTTCACCCACAGCATTTAAGCTTTTACTATTTGCTACTTATTAGGCTACTTTGCTGACATCTAATATTAGCTTTTGAAGCGTGTATGTTTGTCTGTTTTACCTGCTTTAATATTTTACCAAATGCGTTTCATCTTTTCTCCATTGATCTATTACTAGTATCCAGAATTTATCCTTTACTTTATTCAACTTCTTATTTTATTTTGTTTTTTTTTTTCCTTTAGATGCTATCTCATGTGTTGCATATACTTTGTTTATTGAAACACTATTTGATTCAATAGATATAAGCTTACACATTTTACTGCTATGTTTAAATTTTGCCATTTATTTACATACTTAGTTAATTTGTTGCCTATTTATTACTTCCAGGAACATATTGTCCATGACACTTTTACCACATTCAATATTAATAGCTAACAAATTAAATGAGCTTAACATTTACACATACCATGTAGCTGCTTGATATGTATTTGTTACTTTTTTCAAACTTTCATCTGCATATCCACAAATTGTAGCTTTCAACTTTAAATTTGTTGTTAAACAGTATGTTTGATTTTTTTTTCAATTACTTTTAACTATTTCAAATGTTAATTTCGACTTACGTTTTTCACAACTACTTTAATATGTAGTAGAGTGTAACCACTTATCAGTATACCAGTTAATTAGTATAAAAAAATGGTTTTTTTTGTTTTGTTTTGTTTTAAATTAAATTAATATTTTTCAAATCCTGAAAGGCTGCTGAAGGGTTTGCCCCTGTGCTAAATTATGAAGAAAAAGAAAAGATGAAGTCTAGCTGCAATAATGTCAAATAAAATAATAAAGTAATTTGCATAGGTTCATGTTCTGCATTACCTAATAACAGCTGCTATAAATACTCACTGGTGGCAATATACCTGATAATGAACACAGAGTGGAAATATGAAGTGTGATGAAAAGGGGCAGGTCATGCATAGGAAATCATTATGTAACAGATTTCCAGTAAACTCTTACACAAGGATTAGCATTGCTTATAACTGGGTAGACCAGAAATGGGGCAGTGTGGTAATCCTCCTGAACGACAGGGAACCAACAAAGGCCTTAGCAGGAGTAACCTACATCTGGGTTACTAAAGGTGTTTCCATGTTGACACTGAGATTAATGGGAAATGCACCTTTTCACACAATGCACTGCATTATACAGAACTGTGCAAAAGTAGTGAGTTAACCCAATTCTTCTAAAGAGCCAGAGTTTCTTGTATTTAAAAAAACAAACAAACAAACAAAGAAAGTGATCTTGAGCAATAGATTACTTAAATTCTCCAGTCTTTCTAAATGACCATGTCTGTGTTTTTGCTTCAATATTGGCTGGTTTTTCATTTATTTTTAGATGAGGTGGGAATCACCAGACACCCACATTATTATTATTATTATTATTATTATTATTATTATTAGCACAATATTTCACTCACAATATGAAATTAATGTGACTTTTAACATTTTCCAATATGCTGACCAAGTTTCCTGTTATACAGTAATGTAACCAGAATGCAACCAACAGCCAGCCAGTTGAGTTCCCTCACGTTGTGCTCATTGACAAAGATGGCAACATGTTAGAAAACTGTCTGCATTTAGAAAATAGACCATATTTATTTGCAAACCTTCAACAATCTCCCTGAAAGTGATTTTAGTCAATCCAAGGCAGACAGCGACTTCTTTTGGAAAGTTCACCTCTTATCAGGTAACCCGTTGAATGGCTTTGGACAACTATTTAGTCGCCACGATCTGTCACAGAATGTGAAGAAATTCAACATAGTCACCACGCAGCCACTTATTCTAGATGCAATGAAGTTGCTGTCCTATTTTTGCTGGGGTGTCTAAGCCATTAGCTTCGAATAAGTTTCCTTAGCTAATGTTATCTCGGGAGGAGTAGTATTCCCAGAGTATTTTAATTTATTTAATAAAATATCAATATTTGGTGTCCTTGTATTGACACAATTTTGCCAAACAAAATATTGTAATTTTAAGTTGTGTTGATGTTTTTCACGCAATTTTTTTTATTTTCAAATTTTAGTCCAGTCCTTGAACCTGCCCACACTTAGCAAATAGCCAGTTTTAAATCAGAGCCTTCTACACTTTGTTATTGGCAGCCTATCACAAAGGCATACAATCTGATTTCTTTAGTAAATATACAAAGATGCCAAAGATAACAGTTTGGTAGGCATAAAGTGGTATTTTCTGCCAACAAAGTGATTTGTAAAGAGCTATAAGGTGAAAACTTCTGTCCCTAAAAAAATTGAGGAAACTGGATAAGTGCTGAAAAAGAAGTTGCACTGCTAAAAAATGGAATAATGAACACAGAAAGGTGCCATCAGATTGTGGTACCAACAATACATCGCAAGCATCAGATTGGCAACAGCTTAATTTTTAAGCATGACCGAAATCCCAAACACACTGCTAATGCAGTAAAAGCAGTTTAGAAGGAGTTTCAGTAAACCCATTTTCCTAGCAGAATACAAAGAATGAGGGGGGACTCAAGTATCCTCAGGTTTACTGCTATTGTAAGAGCTTTGTGTCTTTTGTGTTTTAAAACTGACTTCGGCAGGAATGACCCAGAAAAGTCATGATATTCAATACTTTAGCACACATTAGGGTGGCACACAAGTAACGTGATCTGACACTTTTTTGTTTTGGATCCTTTTGTACGATTTGTAAAAAACACAGGAAAAAAAAACATCTTATTACATCAAATAAGTAACACTATATCCTATATCTGTGTCCAAATGCCATATAAGGAACGCCAGGGGAAGTTGATGGCATGTTAAAGGCAAGGGTGTTTCCAACAGCACCAGTCCAGTGTGGCTCGTTGTGAACATTTGCACGTTGGTCGTCCACAAACCACATAAACACCATGACATCTCTCCTGCTTGGAGCAGCGCTGCTGGGCAACTTGGGCATCTCTGTCACAGCACAAGGTAACTTCTTAGAATTTATTTCTCTGTATTTTTATTTCCATGTAAAACATGTGGTTTAGGGCTGTTCTTGATCTAAAGTTAGGCTGATTTACATCTGCCTCACCTCACTGCTCCCATAATAAAACCAAGAAGTATAACTTTACTGGTGCCACAGAAAACCAAACCAACCAATAGCAGAACTTACAGCATCTTCTGCTAGAAATCTACTTTTTCATTACCTTTTCCCTAGTCTAAAATTCATTAGTAAATCCTGAACAACTGAAACACACTTTTTGAGTGATTGTATTGTATCTTTATTTATTTCAGACATAATAAAACAAACAACCAAAAAACAAAAAAACCCAATATATACTCATCTACATGTACTTTCGTTTACGGATACGAATATATGTGTAGATATACACACACACACGTATTTGTACAGACAAGCAAAAAAGAAATATAATAAAATAAAACACATTCGTCTAACATGAAATAACAATTGTTTGGTCTGAAAAGGAGTAGGAAGAAGTATACACATACTTATTAACTCCTACCCCTGCTCCTACCCTATCAAAGTCTAGACTTGTTGAAATAAAGAATGAAGTGTAATGTTATTGTTGGGAGTGAAAACAAAGTTGGTCCGACGCTGCTGTGTTTGTTCAGAAAGAACAACAGACAAAGGTGTGAGAAAAAGATGATTTTTGCCATGAGAATTATTTGTATTGTTTTGTGTGTTCGGGTTTTTTTTTTGTTTGTTTGTTTGTTTTTTTACTAATAATTTAACTGCAGTGTGTTAAGTTTGGACAGGAGCTGCTGTTGATCTTTTAGAAATGTTAAAAGCATCTTCTTCTTTGCAAGTTGCCCTCTATAAAATCCATGCAGCGTAATGTGAAAAGCTTAGAAAACTCTTACTAAATTCTGGGGTTCAGTGCCTTTCAGAGTGTAAAATTAACAGATTTTATATGTTGTCATTTACCTTTACAGTATTTACTATACTATTATTCTGTGTATGTGATCATTATCTTTACTATGTTTCTGAATAATACACATTAGTATGGACATTGTCTTTGCATAAACCCAGACTGTTCTTCATTATGTTTTCACACTTCCAGTGATACTGCCTCGACCCAGCCAGGTGAGGTTTGACTCAGTGGACTATAAAAACATCCTGAACTGGACTCCACCCACCACGAACTCTTCTCTGCAGTACAACGTCCAGTGGAAGATGTGAGAGGACACACACACACACACACACGCACACACACACACACACACACACACACACACACACACACACACGTACGTGCAGGAGCACAGTTTTAACTACAAAAAAGGAAGCAAGACTCTTTTACAAGTAACAGTCCTGCAAAATATCAAAATAAAAGCATTCATCCAGCAGCGAAACATTGCCTCTTCTGCATTATATCTGATCATTGTATCATTATTACTGATGTATCAGCAAATGAAGTGTTTTGCAGTTAAGGTGGAACTTACTGAGTTAGACTACATGGAGTAAAGTATTGACTCGTGCCACGAAGCTCCTGACATACAGTTTTTTTTGCTGAGTTTTGGAGTAGGGCTGGGTATCAATTTTGATTTCTATAACAGATTCAATTTCGATTCACAAGGTCTCGATTCGATTTGATTCAATTCAATTTTCACTGAGACAGTCAGAAACATAATTCTGATCATTTGTCAGTACATATCCATATTTTTTAATATCTAGGTATAAAAACAAAGCTGACACTTGTCAGACTTCATCGGAGGTGTAAGCATCACAGCAGACACCTTTGTAACGGAGGATAAACCAAAGAAAAACATGAAGGAGATTTTCGAGTCCTGGCTTTTTATAGCAGATAACCGCCTTAAAATAATCTGCAGCAGATCAAAAACAGAAAAAAATCACGAATCAATATATGAACATTACCTGATGCTGCTGAAGTGAAGCAGAGCAAAGTTATAGAGGTTTTTATTAGAGACACAACTAAGCCTTTGCAGTTTGGCATAATTTGTAAAAGTTTACATTTCTTCGGTATTGAACAGCAGAAATGAGGCTTTCTTGTCAGCGGTCATTTTTGAAAAAGACTAAACAAAACAGCGGCCAACAGCGCTGAACACAACAGTAGATTGGTGCGAATAAGCCAGCGAATAATGCAGAAAACTGAGATTTGAGATCGGAAACCGGTCTCGAAGTACACCGAGAGAGAGAGCTGTGGAGGAAGTGTGATTTTATGGTGGTGGAAGCAAAACTGCAAAAGTAAGAGGGAATTCATGACGACGTTTTTCAAACTTGAAATGTAGTTTTGATCTTCTTGCTGTTGGTTCAATGAGTCAGAGTATCTGTGTTAATATTATTGCAGCACCCTCAGTAGGATGCTGGGTAGGTTGCACAGGATGAAATAACCATCCTCTGTGTTTATGTCTTCTCCCTCAGTTATGGCGAGCCCGAGTGGATCGATGTGCCAGGCTGTCAAAAGATCCGGAAGCACCACTGTGACCTCAGCGACATGACCTCTGAGCCCAGAGAGTGGTACTACGCCAGAGTTGGTGCTGTGTCTGTGGCCACCAGCAGCAAATCAGCCTGGGCCCTCTCCCCCAGATTCAGCCCGCGTTGGGACAGTGAGTGTTTACACAACTTCTTGCATCATTGTCTGCATCCTCTTTCCGTTCGTTCTCACTTCCCCAAACTGATGCAGGAACGTATGGCAGCAAGCACAGCCTGAAGCCAGGTGCACAGACACTCATGAGCTGGTTCAGCTATTTAAATAGAGCATAACAAAGATCTAAGTTAAGTTAAAAAATGCTCTCTCCAAACTATATATAACTAATGTCAGATAAAAAAAAAAGCTCCAAAGTTCAGGTTGCATTGTCTTGCAATCCAATCACAGTCACATGACTTCTTTAGACTTCCCTCTTTAAGTTAAAAACAACAGCAGCATACTCTCCGCTGCTTCCTCTCTTTTCCTCTGCGTTGCTTCACGCTCTCACAACTGTGTGTTCATCGCTCTGCGGATAAGCTCAAAGAAATTTGTTTCCCATGCAGCCAAAATCAGCCCCCCTGTGCTGAGACTGAATGTAACCGAACAACCAGCCATTGTGGTCCGAGTGAAGCCCCCCCGAGACCTGGTCCGGAAGCTGCACAGCAATTTGTACTACAAGATCTACTTAACACACCCCAGTGGAGAAGAAGTACGCACACACACTCACACCAAACACCCTGCTGCGCATCCATCTCCACACTGATTAGGCCGGGTTTATTTTAGACTCATTACATCCTGAATGTAATTCCATGGGAAAACTGTGTTTGATTTGTGCACTTGTGATAAATTAATCACACTTAATTGGGAATTTAAGTCAGAACAGCTGAACATGCTGAAATCTCTACATTTCCCCAATTTTAGCACACGTTTCAACATTTAAGAATGAAATAATAATCAATAATCACTGCATTTTCTCTATGATAAGCACCGGATTGCATCTTTTTTTCTCCAGGTTTCACTGTAAACATTAGTAAATTATTCATTGTCAATTCATTCCTCGCTGTTTGTGACACTCAAATACTCACTTTAGAGAAGGTGGCGTGCAGTTTTTTTTCCACAAACACAAACAGTTGCCGTCACAGCAGTATGCAAAAATTAATTTGTTTTTTTTCCCGGAGCTTAGAACAAATAAAATTGAAAGGTTACAGTGGAATCGGTGCACAGTTCCAAAATAGAGAAGGAAGAAGAGGAAGAGCAGCAAAAGATGATTGACAAAACAAGAACAACAACAAAAAGAAGAACAAAACAATTTGCATTTTTTCCGCCTGTAGTTCTTGAAATTTTCTGTCAAACTGCACCACCTGTTGCTTCCAGCCGCCCGTTACCGCTGAGGGCTGGTGGACACTCACTGTCTCTCTCTTTATCTCTCTCTCCTTTAGGAGGTGTTTGACATGAAGTGCTGTTCTCACAAGCTGACTCTGAAGGACCTGAATCACAGAGAAGAATACTGCCTCCAAGCTCAGATCGTCCTCCCTCTGCAGGGCAAGCACAGCGCCCGCAGCTCTCTGAAATGCGTCACTACCCTCTGACAACACAGGTATGAAAACACATTCCCTCATATCACATCATTGCATCGTATCATGTCGTGCCGGCTGCAGGGTAGAGACGTGTCTAGCTCCTGTAGATCACCACTGATGCAAATTCCTGCCACAGCGCAAAGCCGCCATATCTGTGAGAAACTGTTGCAGGTGTGTGTTTTAGTTGCCTGCACACCGACCCGTTGGAGAGTATTGTTGATGACCAACAATACTGCTGCAACAAAAGATCACCCGGATGAGATGTCTAGTATCATTTGTCACATCACAATCGCCCGAGGCTTTGAGATAGAGGGGAGGGGAAAGAAACACCCTGGAGGAGTAATCCTATCATGAGTCTGTACATGATGACAGTAATTACCCCAGCTCACCCCGCCCTTTTCACCATATTTAGATCTTTTAGAGAGACAAAACAGAACTGCTCCGTTTGCTGATTTCCTTCTCTCTGCATTTCGTTGCCTTGTACTTGTGACATGTGCAATGACAATAAAGTTGAATTCTATTCTCTTTTCTGCAGACACAGCATCGGCCATCCCTTCAGCTTTAAATATCCATCGCTACCTCGACGGCCACAGCCACACACATCCGTGCAAGTAAAAGTGATGCACTTTATTGTACAAAGCATTAAAGGCCTCATATGAAGGCAAACTTTCACGTTCACCGGAAGAGGATTGCTTTTGTTTTTTTAAACTTAAAGAGTATTTTTTTAAATTTTTTCTATTCATGGCAAAATATTCTGAACTCACAGGCAGCTTTTCCTCTCCATAAATCATAAAAATATTATTGCAATCTGGTGTGCTCGTTCACACATGGTCAAGATATATTTTCAACTTATGTCTGTTTCCTCATACCTCTCGCACGCAGTCCAGCAGTGAGGATCAGCGAATGCTGCTTTAACGTCTTTATTAAGAGAGCTTTTTGTAAAGAAAAAAACTCTGCTAAAAGAAAACTGTATGAGAATGTACTGTGCTAAATGTATCACACTACAAATAAAATCCACTGTTGAAATTGACCTCTGTCCTGTAAGTTGGACCCTTTTTGTACAAACAGTAAAGCTGGTGGTGTTTTCGCAGTTTTCTCATCGTCTTCTCCTCTTTGTATTTTATTGCCTACAAAGGTATAGTGTTACGCCTATTTGTGCAGCCATGAATATATAGTTTTTTTAAATTAAAGCTCAGTAATATGCAAAAACAGCAACTTTGATTCTAGTGTGTTTTTTTCTGGTGTTACTCTGTTGTTGTAGTTTAGATTTATTCCAAGACGACAGTGAATACAAACTTAAAGGACAGAGTCACCATAGTGGTGCCTTCAGATTTCAAGAGTCAGACTTTTTAACTTTTGCTAGGAGTCTACATAATACTTTGAAATATAGGAAAAAAAACCCTACGATATTTTTTATACTTATGTGTCGTATAATAATATAATCTGTGCACTTAGCTTGCTTGTTAAGGAAGATTTAAAAGTAGCGACTGAACCCTCTGAGGTCATCAAGGGTGACTGACTTGCAGTTGAGCTTCAAACCATGTGTTTTTGATGGTTGTCTAAGAATGATTACTTTTTCTTTTACCCTGAATGGCAGGACTTTGGAAAATAATAATAATACAAATCCATGTTCTGATGGTGTAGGTCTGGGCTTTGGGTCTTCACCAACAGTAGCTTCACCTCACTGCGTCAGAAATTATTTTAGTCTTGTGTTGTTGCTACTTTCCCATTCATAGCTGTGAAAAAAAAGACCATCTCATGAACTTTACTGTCTTGCCTTTGAATCTGGGCCCTGTCCTTTAACCATCCAGTCTTTGTGCCACGCTTTGGTGGGTTTGCTTCTGTAGGCAGAGGCAGCTTTCAGCTTTTTGAGGGTTTCACAGCATCTTCGGGAACTTTTGAACATGATGCTGAACTACTAGTTGAATTGAATCCCCATAAATCATCTTCAGATGACACAAAAAACTGAAATTATATTTTAAACTGTGTTTGGAAAAAAAAAAAAGACAAACCAATGACAATAGTCTCGACTTAGACTTTATTGAAAACATTGATAAACTGGATACTCTTCATCAATCAGGCATGAAATGACAAATACTGTAATGATATCAAACAGCGCTCACTGAAACAGACGTACTCTAAGCTCAATGTGACACAGTCAGCGTGACACGTGTTCAGTGATTTAAAGGAAGCACTGCATTTAACAGGAAGTTCTCATTTGATTGGGAGGGCGGTGGGTCTTTCAGCTACAGTGCTTCACACTGAGGATCTTTGTGGCGTTTTCATGTGGAGTCGCCTTCTTTGTAGGAACTCCTCACTAGCAGCTAGTTCATTTAGTAGTTTTGGTCCTGAGGACTGAGAGGCCTTAGTGCTGATAGAGCTGAATTTTGGTCCTGTAGCCACACAGCCTGAATGTGCAGTGTCTGGATTCACGAATATTATTGCTGCAGTTTGTAAAATATATTGGCATGTGTGTCTGGGAATGTTTCAGGTCTGCAGTGTTATAGCAGCAGTGCATGCTGGTGTTTAAAGATGCCCTTAATTTATTTCACTTTTAACAGCCCTATGATCAGTAAGGCCCTTTACAGTGTTTAGAGCTGCTCTGAATTCAGTGGTCATAAAACACAGCAACACAGGAAATGATAAAATGCCACAGTGAGATACACATGAGCAATCAGTTATATTTACACCATTTGGAAATTCATATCTTTTAGTAAATGAATACTTGAGTGGGCCACTTTTATATTCAATTTACTTACTAAACAATTACAGGTGGCATTGGGTCCAGCATATATCCTTCATTATCAGCTCTGCATACTGTCAAGTTCACACAAGTCTGGAAGAAACATGTTGACAAATCAACATTCAAAGCCCTTTGTGAATACTGAGGAAAACTAGCATGATCATGAAAGGCAAACGGTGTCTTGACTCGGAATATTTTCTAAATGCAAAAACCTTTTGCTTAACATTGTATAAAAAGTGTACAAAGAGAAACAGATACAACCGACAACCTGACTCAACTAAACGTTAAAACCAGTTACATGTAACAGCGCTATCACAGAATCAAACCAACCAAACTGGGGCTGATTTCTATGACTGAGTGACCGAGCTTTTAAACGACAAAGCTGAAAGGCACACATTTATCAGGTTTACAGTACAAGTATTGCAGTTTTGTGCAGTTGATGCTCTAAACAGTAAGTAAACACTCTCCTGTGTGCACATTTATGGGCTTTGTAGAAATCCTAAACATCCAAGCAGTTTATTTGGGTTTTCCCTCACATGAACATTCACGGCTGATGCGTTCCTCCCGCTCTGCTGCAGTGTGCCAAATAAAGACAATTTTAACAAAGAAAAAACATCTATAAATACTCCATATTCCATATTATCAACACATGACCACAACTCCTAAACGAGAAGATTCCAGGTCTGCTTTGAAGGACTTCCAGTTTTCTACCCGCATTCAGGGAATTCTGGGTGGAAACACACATGCATCTCTACCCGGGTCCAGTATGTAATCTACCTCGAGACAGCGTGGCCTCATGGTAACACGTGACGTAGTCCAGAAATGTGATCTGTTCCTGTGTACTCACGGACAGCAATTAAATATGTGACAGTAACCCCGACTGCAAAACTCAAGTGTTTCAAAAGGAAGTGTAACAGAGCTTTAAAACATGGCTCAGCTGTTTTATTTGAACCTAAACCACAATCTGTGTTTAAACCTAAGATTTTGGTCTGAATCTTAACCATACAAACATGAATCGTGTCTCTTAAGTGAATGCCACCATCTTCCCCTTCCTAGGGTGGACTACACTACAATTTGTAATCATGAACCTCATCATAAACTCTCCTCAGACTGTGTGGCAGATGTTTTTGTGCATACAAACAAACAAACAAACAAAAAAGAAAACATTTTTCTTCATGAAAACAAATTAACAGACACATTTCTCGACTACTCCACGGACTCTTCGAAAACACCAATCTATTGCCCAAGAACAAACTGTACTGCAGCATTGCTGCCTCAGTCATGAAACAGCATTAATGCCATATAAAAGAAAACAAAACTGCCAGCATTAGGCCGATAAAGGATTAAAAGAAATATTTACAAACAAGGCATAGTATATTTTTGTTCAATGTTTTAAGGGTACATGCATGCATGATTTTTAAGTCAAAAAAAAATATTAAAAAATCTAAAAGCGTGATCACACTTTTTTGAAACTGACATGGAATGTGTGTCCTGTTGGTTTCTAAGGTAAGGTCAAGTCTCTTCATATTAAATTACCTATAAAAATATATATATAAATAAAAAGGTGAGGGTATTGTGTTGAGAAAGCTGCAGCAGCGGTCAACGTTTAGCTGCACCGATAGAACGAGAAAGGAAAAGGGTGGGGGGTGACAAGAGCGAGGAAAGGATGGGGAAACAAAGGCAGCAGTCAAGCACCGAGATGATCACAGGAAGAGCTGCTGATCCATCTCTGGAAAGTTCTGCCTTGGTTTCAGAACCCCGTGTGTGTGTACTAGAAAGAAACACACTGGAACACCTGTGACTCAGGAATTTTCTAAAAGCCTCAGACTCTGCTGCAGTCTAGAACATAGAATATGTGCTAGAACTGCGACAAAGCCGTTTCTATCGCTCTGTATAGAACTTCATCAAATAGAAACAAAGGCAGCCTGCTTCTAAACCCTCCAGGAGTTCTGTGTGTGTAAGTTCTGAACATTCTAGGCTGTGAGCAACAAGCTACAACCACCAGCAAGCAGCTCGCTTCTCGAGACTTCTAAGAGAGGAACTCTTTGTCCAGCTCAAAGACAGAGGGCCGTGCAGGAGAGCTTTGAATGCGGCAGAGCGGCACGGTGCAGTCTCGTTTCTGGCCCTCGGTGTCCATGTCCAGCAGGGAGCAGCCCATCCCTACCTCTGAGGACAGCATCACGTTTAGGTTCTGCGCCGTCTTTTCTCCGGAATAGTGACCCAGGGAGTAGCTTTTGTTGCGTCCTCGCAGCAGAGCCCAGGTGTGGGGTTTGGCCCTGAGTGACACTGGCCGCGGTCTTGTGAAGGCCTCTCCACCAGAGGGCTTCTCTGGCCCTCCATCCTTCTCTTGTTTCTCCTGCTTCTTTTGTGTGACTGGAGGAGGCAGAGCGGGCAGGCCATTGGCTGTGAACAAACGGAGATACATTTTTGGAGTGGGAATCCTTTTTAAACCTGTATATACAAGTTTTCTCACTTTTTGTTAGTTACTCACTGTTGTGGTTGGTGGTGTATTTCTTTCTGCGTAGACGTGCTGCTGGGTTGTGGTTGGTCTGCTCTGGCGGCTGGCTTTGGGTTTGCACCGCTGTCTGCGTTTTAGCTGCAGTCTTGTTACTCTGGCCTTCTGGAACTGCTGCTGGGCTGCATCTGGATGGCTCTGTGTGATGATTGACAGCCACATGCTCAGCCTTCACAGGGTTAGACTCCGACATCTCCGCTTCAGACTGTAAGAGACACTTGGTGGAGTTGTACTCCATGATGGCTGACATGGAAATAAGATTGACAGGTTGGGGGGAGTTGTGGTTTGACGTTCCCTCGTCTTTACGGGAGCGACCACTTGGTGGTGAGGTGCTGCGGCGGAAACGGGTTGCGCGTTGAAACAGGCCCTCTTTCTTTTTCTTCTCTTTCTCCTCTTTCGGGGGCTCGCAGTCTTCGCCAGCAGCTGAGTTTTTCAGGGCTTCCCTGATGTCATAACCGAGCACAACCGAAGCCAGCAGCGAACCGCAGCCATACAGCACAGCGTCAGTCTTGCGGCGACCCGATGTCCTTTTCAGGCTGTTGGTGGGTGTAAGCTGTGGGGTAGTTGAGGTGGATGAAGTGGATGTGGTGGTATATGGGTCGTCTGGAGTCTCTGGTTGGCCGCTCTGACCTGCTAATCCCACTCCAGCATCTCCTGTCCCGCAGTTTCCACCAGGGCAAATCTGAGTCTGCTGCTCGTCCCTCCACAGAGGTAGATCGATGTACACCTGGTTGGGGAACTTGAGCTGCTTTGGTTTGGAGCTGCTGTCAGAACATTCCTGGGAGAAAGTCTCATCTTTACTGTTCCCTGCTAAAAACACAGAAGTGGAAATATCAATAAATACCTGCTCCTTATAAATCCAAGCACCATTTAAACAAATTTAATGTCACCACAGTTTTAGCTCACCTTGTTCGGCAAACAGGGCAGCAAGAGGGACAGACTTCTGGGACTTCACCAGGCTGGTGGACCACGGGTTACTGCCATCTGACAGAGGACGCACTCTATAAAAAGAATTATTAGTGAGGTACACTGCAGAATTAGTTACATATATAAAGACTGAAGATGCTCTTTCATGCACCACGCTGACCACAAGGTCGAGCAAAATTAGTGCTGCATAGGCTGTTCCATATCATTACTATGTCATCTTTTGAGGCGACAGTGTCTTCGTGTGTGCTATTTGCATCGGCTTCCTGTCATTCTACTTTTCTATTTGTGACACATATGTGTGTCACACTGTGCCCATGCGATCCAACCATTATTGGACGGATGAGTTTCAGAGTGCAGCACAGTGCATGAAACTTTCCATCCTCTTACTATAATGATCGTAAGCATATGATCATTTGTCTGTATATACTTCATCGCCTCTTTAACAGGTTGGCCAATCTGAGCGAAACTTTGCACAAACATTATCACACGTACAGAGATTACTAACATCTAAATATTTTTATAAAAGGATTGATTATAAATTACAATTGTTTAGATTTTTGTATATATTATGCTCACTTCACCATAGGGCTGCTCAATTAATCAAATTTTAAACCTCTTAAATTTCTCCAAGTAGAAATATATGTAAACAAAACAAAAGCGATTTTCAATTTTTTTTGTAGTTTATTGCACTTTTTTGCAATTTATGTAATTACTATGGACTTAATGCATACATATTATTAAAATATGGGCTATAACAGTTGTATTGATGTATAGCAACTTGAAATGCTCCCACAAATGGCACTACAGCATGTAAAAAATAAATATAAGCTCTGGTGGACTTGGTTCTATAGTAGGTCTTAAAGGGTTAAATAAATATCGTCAAATAATCGTGATCTCAATTTCAGTGAAAATAATCGTGATTATCATTTTTGCCATAATCGAGCAGCCCTACTTCACCATCCCTGTGCAAATGCAATGTTACATTTTCTGACAGAACGTTTTTTGTTTTTTTTTTAAATCGTATGAGACTTTGAGATGTTTGACCATCTGCAGTCCTTTAGAGAAGCATACAAATGATGACTTCTTCAGTTTTTTTTGGACTCTGCAAATGTAGCATGAATCAGATACACAAAGAAGAGTCAAAAACTATTTCATCACTTTGAAAATTTGACTTAGACAAGCTTGTTTTTAAGTCTTCAACTACACAGTGCGAGTAAAACGTGACTGTCCTGCTTTTTTTCCTGTGTGTAAACACACTTCACCTCTGAGCGGCAGCAGGCCTCTCTTTGCTCTGTACTGAACTGGGTCCCCAGGTTCTTCCTTTCTTCTTGATTCCCTTTTTCACGTCATCAAACTCCTCTGGCCTGAAGGGGGAGCTGCGGCCCCACGTACGGTTGCTCTCATCTTGAGTAACTGTAAATGCAGCGATTGTTAAGTTTTACAAATAAACAAACCAATCAATCAACTCCTGCAAGCTGCTGTTGACCAAAAGACAGTCCTCACACGAAATATGGACTAGACATGTTAGTAGGATTATTAAATGATTTCTGCCATCTGTACAATCCTGGTATTAATCAATCCATAGAAGCATTATGAAGTACAGTGGTCCCTCGTTTATCGCGGGGGTTACGTTCCAAAAATAAACTGCGATAGTTGAAATCCACGAAGTAGCCAACTTTATTTTTACAATTATTATAGATGTTTTAAGGCTGTAAAACCCCTCGCTACACACCTTATACACTTTTCTCAGACAGATATGAACATTTTCACACTTTTCTCTCTTGTTTAAATACTCTCAAAGTTCAAACCTTTGTAGAAAAATAAGTCCAGTATTATAGAATGACACCAAAGGCTCCCGCGGTTGCCTTTGATGGTGCAAAATGTTTTGTTGACATTGTTGTGTTTGTTGGGGGGAAAACTTACAGACATACAGTACAGCACTTCAGAGTCACACTGCTAGCGATCGAAGATTTATGTAAATTTGACAAGCTGAACGCATTCTGTACTGTAGAGGAGACACCGCACGAGATTGATTGACAATGGTCTACAGCCAATCAGGACGCAGAACACAAAGCGTTGTAAGAAAAAAAACAAAACCATGCAAAATTGCACCAAAAAAAAAAAATAAAAAATAAAAAATAAAAAATAAAAATCAGGAAAAGAGCGAGGCTGCGAAAGGTGAACCGCGTTATAGCGAGGGACCGCTGTACTTACGGTAAAAAACATTGGGTAAACACCAAACCCCTGGAGTACTGTTGTTCAAAAGTTATACACTAGATGGCTTTCGAGTCTTTTAATTTAATGTCTGATTCAGGAAGATTCAGAGTGAATATCATAATCGTGACAGTGATAATCATAGAACAATTCAAAAAGAAAAACAACAGCAACCAATAGCAGTGTTGTTTTAAGATCCTCTTACTGGTATTGGTTAGTTGTCATGAACTTCAGCAAAAGCAGCATCCACCAATTATGTCACAGCATCAGACAAGAGCCAAAGAAAGCTGCCACCAAATTCATTTGTAGAATTCAAAGACAAAAAAAAAAGAAAAAAGAAACAGCTCCGTGGCCCATGTCTGCAGCATGAACTGTGTAGCTAATTTATTTGATTTTAAGGTTGATGAAAACATTTTTACAAGTAGAAAACACCAAAGTCTTGTTATGATCCACACATCAGATAAATGCTGTCAATCTGCAAGAGAAAAATCACTGACTGGAAACTTTAACCACTTTCAACACTTAAAGTTAGCCACACGTAACACACAGCACTCAGTGCTACTGGCAACGCCTCACGCTGCATGAGCGAAGCCAATCTCCTTGCCTTTCCTCCTGAACCCAGAGTAGGCTGACACCTCGCTGGTCAAATCAACATCCTGTTGGTAAACATACAAACTGTCCCTCGGCCTGTGGGATGTCACTGAGGAGGGAAATGCACATGTTACAGCCTGAGCACTGTGAAACAGAGCATTTAATGCTACAAAACAGAAGGTGGAGCACTTCAGCCAGTGCTGCCATAAATAAGTCTAAATGTTTATCTGTTGGAATAAACATTTACACTTATATGTATGAATGAAATTTATGGCTGGTGCAAATAAAACTGACTTTAAAATGTGCAAGAAATAGGTGTCCATGTCAACAGGGCTGTTATTCAATTGCTATGTATCATATGGCTATGCATAAAGATTTAATAAAATGCTGAAGTAAATCAGTGTACACAACTGCAAATACATGATTCCTCATAAAGTGTACAATCCTGTGTGCACTAAATACAGGCTTCTAAAACACACCTCCTCCTTGGATAGCACAGACCTGTCTAATCTTGTAGCTCAAAGCATCAATTAAGACTAAGTTTAAACACATGGATCTGTATACAAATGTACGTCTTTTTTCTAGTACTCTGATTTTTCAGTGCCTCCTATGTTACAGAGAAGACCCCTATCTGTATTATCACCTACCATAAATGCACAAGAGGAATTTGTCCCAGTTATTGCAGGGGCGTTGGTGTGTGACTAACATCTTTTTAAAACTGTTCAAACAACTGCCTCTGCCTCTGGAGCTTTTGTTCACATGGCTCTAGTCATTGTGCATGATACTGTTCCCATGTTCCCAGTTCCTGTGAAATTCTCAGAGCTGATGTGATTTCTTTGGTTCTTTTACATTTGAGCAGGCTGGACTCAAGGTAGGACAGTAAGCACGACTAAGAAAACCTGAGGGACTCTTTAATATGCAAAAACACAAACTGAACTTACGCTGAATGGCTCGTAGACGAGGGATAAGTGTGGGACTGCTGGGAGGAGAGGAGCTGGTACTGTGAAGGCTCCGCCTTTTGTCCATGGAGGGCGAAGCCTGCACGGTGATCTTATGCTGGAAGTCTGCAATATGCCGGACAAGTAAAACAGTTATTATAATCCCAGAGGAGTTACTGTTTGAGTGATTACAGTTTGATATGTATAGTTAGATTTTCCAACACAGTTCAAATGTTGCAAACACAACAACATCAGAGTGATTATTTAATCTGGACGTGTTAGTTTGCTTATTTTTTCTGAATAGTGTAGGCTAAAAGCTTGGAAAATACAATATGGTTTAACTTTTTTATTTTGCTACAGATGTATGGGAATGATGTGGCAAATACACCATTCTCATACAAGAACTATATACTGGGAAAACATGATTTGTCAAGCTCTGGAGTTGTTTTTGACAGGAGATTCCAAGAAATTCAAATAGCAAATTAGCTTCAAAGCTTTGACAGGCAGTGGGCAGGGCAAATCTCACTCTGTTTGTACCACTGAGTGATGGCACAAAGGGACAGAGAGGATCCATCTAGAGCGAGAACTCCAGTTTTAAAGCACTGCAATCCAATTTTTTTTAAGTGCTATTACGGGGAAAAAAAGGAAGGCTCATTTGTATCGTGAGGTTTGGATGTGGGAATATTTTAGCTTAGTTCAGCCTGCAAGCTCACCTGAGGGTAGGCTGATGCGGTTCCCATCCTTCAGTTTAAGGCGGGAACGTTTAAATTTGCCTTTTCTCTTCTTCACGTTGGGCTTGTCTTTGTTGAGCTGGAAAATGAGGATGTTGAGCTCTCTCTCCAGCACGTTGATCTCGCGCTCTGCCAGCTGCTGCTCCCGACGCTTCAGCAACTCCTCCTGAGACTTCTGCTGCAGGGCGGCTCGCGTCAGCTCCTCTTCTCTGGAACGTAGCTCCTGGAAGAAGCAGGTATTAAGAGGTAAGTGCATTTATAGAACTGGCTGAAAGATTTCAGATGGTGACACCTCCTAAGGCGTGAACTCTTCCACGGCATGCATTTTTAATTTGTCTTTGATATTTGGGCTGATTGGGACCTGATGAATGTAAAAACAAAGAATTATTTTATTTTTTTAACCTAATTTTTGTTTCTAAGAAAAATGAGAGCCACATATGAGGATATTCGTTTAAAATTTCGATAGAACAGTAGCAGTATAATGTCCTCGTGAGTGGATATCAGGCCCTTGTAGAGCCAAATTGAGTATTTTGGTCTAAATAACCCAAAATGTGATGTCCTCACACGTGGACACCAGGTCCTAGGAGGTTAAGGCACCTTCTATAGACCTCAATAGCTGCTCTAACAATAGTGAGCTAAGTTGGCATTGTTTGCCAACACTGTATGAGCTAAAACATGAGCAAGCACAATTTCAAGTGCAGAGCTAGTCAAGTCTACAGTAAGCAGTTTACAGTAAGTAAATTATATAAACTACTTTTTTAGTGAACAGTCAACATTTAAAGGATAACACTAGGATGAATAAAAGTGCCTTAGAGATCCAGAAAGGATGTATGTCATCCTCGCTAGATCAATATTTAGAACTACTCTTAAGTTGTGCCTCTGTGTCACATTTGTTCCGTGTGTGGTTTTAGACATGTTTTTTGAGCACTGAAATCTTTAAAATAGGCAGGAGTAGGTAGCCTTCTTTTTGAGGCAGTGTTATGCTCTCCCACCACTGCTCACTCATTCTTCACTCCCTCCATTTTCTCTTGAATTGCTCTCAGTTGAGTAATAATAATCCTTACTGGATGACTTCCATAAAGCAGCTTTACAGTCAAACCACTTCAGCCACCCACCTAGACACAGATTACGGTGAGATTTTTTACAGGAAATCTGTTTAAATGAAGGGACTAATTCCCTAATCTTGTAAAATTTATGATGGGAAAGCTCAAAGCTAAATTAGCCTTATTCTTTGAGCTTTGCATAGTGGTTGAATTTAATATAGCATGGTGAAGCAACAGAAATTACCAGCTGTGCAGATAAACGTTTAATTTGGGGATTGTAAGATTTAAAAAACGTAAACCTCATGCTCAAACGGTGGATTAGCAGAACTGGAAAAACTAGAACAAAGCAGACAGCATAAATCCACAATACAAAAATAGGCACAAATTAAAACTCAATAAAAACACCACCTGTGCACTTTTGTATTTTGTGTAAAACTCCGTTCACCATTCATTAACTCAGCTCTGTGTGCTGATCCTGCTGTTTCTCTAAACACTAATTAACTCCTCTCTCCCCACTTTAAGCCAGAAACAGCAGACTTATACAGGAAGCAGATTAAGGTTTTAACAAGGGGAAGTCCACTAAAGCACTTCGGCATTAATGACTTGATTGTTAAACGTGCGATTTAGCCTTATCCACTGAAAGTAACCAATTAAACATTTTTATCCCATGAAACCAGTCCAGGGCAATACATCGGGGTTAGACGTAATGATAGATTAGCCTGCGTGTATCATTACTAAAACTCAAAGAGTGAAGCAAGATGAAAAACTGGTCTTTTTTCATACTTGGCGTCAGGGTCCAACTTCCCACACTGTGCGACACAGACGAGAGGATGCTGGAAATTAAGTTTACTTTCATGTGTTTAACCAGCTGCTAGGATAGTTCCGTGTTCAGTGGCTTCAACATATTGATGTTAGTGTATGAAAGAATCTCCTCCTTCTGCTCTACCTTCTCTTTGGTCCTGAGCTCATCAAACATCTCCTGGATCTCCACACGCCAGTCGTCCTGCATGCTGTGGAAGGAGTCCTGAGGCATGGTGGCCATCACCGCCTCTTCGATGGCTGAAAGCTGCTCCAGGATGCAGGAGAATGAGGGACGCACATGGGGGTCCTGGTCCCAGCAATCTGGACAAATACAATGCAGTGAAAAGATGGACTCATAACCACTGTGACCAGGGCATCTACATCATACTGTATTTGTGGGCCTAGTGAACTGCTCTGACAGAAAAAAAAGGAGTCAGCTGGATCAGCAGAAATTCACAAAGTTGGGAAAAACCAGCAAACTTGCCATTAGCCATTTTAAGAGTACATTTACTATTACCATGCACGCATTTTCCACTAGAAATATGTATGCATGTACAAATCTACACATAAAATTAAATTAAACTTAAAGTCTAATATTTGGTGCCATATGGCCTATTTGTGGAACAGGTGGCGTCGCTTCTTGTGCCTCTCTTGGAATAAGATGCCAGTCTCACATACATTTTCTGTGGATAAACAAAGCTTCAGCTCAGCTTCAGCTCCACTGATATTTGCTCATACTTACCTTCCATGAGCTTAGCGAAGGGTTCGGGGCAAGTGGAAGGGATTGGTAGGGTTAACTTATTAACTGCCACGCCGTAAGCAACAGCAAGGCCGTCTATTCCACGGTACGGCACCTCCCCTGTTAACAGCTCCCACAGCAAGACACCATAGCTGAAAAAAAAAAAAAAAAAAAAAAAACCCCAAAGTAAACTAATGATAAATAAATTTAAAGAACAATGACAGACAAATGAAAAAAAGGTAAGTATTTAAATCTAATGTCAAGGCCTCATGTGTCATTATCATCCATTATACCTCCAGACGTCACTGCCTTTGGAGAAGAGAGATGACTTAATGACCTCTGGTGCCATCCAGGAGTAGGTGCCTGCTGCTGACATTTTTGTGGTTTTGTGCCATTCCCTGGCTAAGCCAAAATCTGTGATCTTCAAGGTCTTTCTCCCAATGTCATCATTCTCAATTTTTTCAAGTAATAAAACTGAAAAGGAAAAATAATTTACTTTAGGTAGATCGATGCACAAAAACCATAGGATAAAAAAAATGCTCGAGAAAAAAAAAAAAGCAGTGTAACTGAGATAAAAGGAAAAAGGAAAAGACGGGACTGGGATGAAAGTGACAGATGTGAAGGGGATGGAGAATAAAGGTGAAATGTAAGAAAGGGGGATATACAAAGAGTGAGCGACAGAGAAAAGGGCGACCGTCCAGGTGAGGAGATGATAGCAGATATTTAAAAAGGGCCAACAGCAGTATGCTGGTCATTCATTACTGTAGAAACAGAAGGCTGACAGTGCCACAAAGCACCTGTCCTCGGGTCCTAAAACTGCTCAACACATTAAAGAGAGCAAGAACCCCTCAAACCTGCTGGTAACACTACACCAGGTCTGAGAGCGCTGCCACAGTGAAGTCACAAACTAAAATGTGTGAAGTCAAAACCCTTAGTGTTCATCATGATCTGGATAAAATAAATAAATTCACAAGTTGAAGACGTACACAAACACACATACAGTTTACACACACTGAACGTGTTGTGTGTGCATCAGGAATAAAGTACTGGGCAAATGGACTAAAAACACGGCCTAAATATTCTTGAAAGCAGCAGGTTTTTCCATAGCCTGTCCGCCTCCTCTGGTTGCTTAGCTGTCAAATTGCATGCACTTCATGATATCAGTTACCTGTGGTTCACTAAGAAAGTGGGTGTAAAATGAAGGGCTGCAGTATTCATAGACTATAATTTGCTAATAGTTACCACCAAAGGGAGATTGGTTTGATTTGCATTTGCATTAAATTGTTACCAAAGATAGGGCTTTGCCCATCTTACAAGAAATCACATCCAGATATAGATCTGGATTTAGGATTTTTTTTGCAATCTGGGGCACAACTGGATATTCTTAATCACATCTTTACAAATACCTACAGAAAATACTTAAAATTGCAGCCTCATCTTCAAATGTCTTGTTTACTAAAACTTAATAGACACTCAGGGTGAAATAACATGATGAAAAGCATATGAATAAATAAACAAACCAGAATAATAAACAAACCGTAAATAACAACTAAATGAAAAAGGGAGCACAGAGCTTATGAAAACAACTTTGGGTCTCTGGTGTTTAGTCCATTTAAATCACTTTAAAACTACACAATCAGGGATGCAGGGGTGAACACTGTAATTTTGCTTGGGTGCGAACAAAAACAACTGCCCTGAGACCCTTTGGAGGAGGTGGTCTTGGTCCACTTCCAAACTCCAGAGCTGTTTGTTTATGGTGTAAACATAATACGAACCAACTACTTGGTGTATGCTGCAAATTTGAGCGAAATGCTTTTCCGTAGTCAAGTAAGTTTTGCAGTTTGGATTGTGGCAGGGTACCACAGATGTTCAGTGTACACAAATTGTCAGTACAGGCTAGCAACTAGCCCTTAAATGTAATGTAAATCCCTTGTTTCCCTTGTTCCAACATGCCAGAACACAGCACCTTTAGTTACTTTTGTTGCTCCCACCCAGACACATTTGCCTAATCGGTAGACAAAAAGTTCTCACATGGTTTCTAGTGACACATTGCAAGAATGTGTTTTTTTTCTGTGTGTAAAAGGAACAACTATAAGTTTCAGCTATCAGGCTCATCAACTGATATGGACTGAAGTAAATGACATATAGATGTGAAAATGCACTTGTACACGGTATTTTTCAAAACAAGAATATTCTGCTTTTGTTTTTTAATCCTTTCCCTCACAAGCACCGTTTTAATGAACACCATCGTCCATGTGAAAACGTAAAAACCATTGTTGCTTTGAGCATGTCAAAGCAATGTAACCCTAACCATACAAAAATGTCAGAAGCCTATAAACAATAACACGTAGTCCAGTCTGATGTTAACAATGGAGATAAAGACACACACCTCTGATGTTGCAACACATAATCTCTGTAATCCCTGTCCAAACATGAATGCACATGCAGTTTTTGAAAATGATCACATTGAGAGTACTTTTTCAAAGCTTGATTTTTAGCATAAAGCTGTTTACATGTGGACAAAATGCAACGGTGCACGTAAAAAGCTTTGTTTTCCAAAACAAATGTGTATGTGCAGACCAAACCAGCATTTGGGCTTTCTCAACCTGTGCCACATTTCTTCTAATGTTAAATGTTTTATTTCAACAAGAATAAAACTAATATTATACCTCTGATAACATGAAGCCTCTTTTTCCATGAACTGGTGTAGCCAAAATGAAGTCTTTGATCCTTTGATTCTCTTTGTATCATGTACAAAATGTGTTTTTGCCAAGATCTCCTCACATTAAAAGCTGCTCGATTTCATTATTTACACTACAGGTCAATTTGAACATGTCCTATCAGCTGTGTTGATTCTACAGAACAAACAAAAGGCTAGCAATAACTCGAGAGTCTAAATGCCCCTTTGGTTGGTTTGACAGAGGCAATCAGTGTTGAGAGTTTATTGTTAAGAAAAACAGCCTGATATCTCCGTGGATGGATGGAACGTTGCTGCCACTTACACTCTGTGGGAATATTTTCCAAGGGAGAAACAACGTCATGATAAAGATAGATAGTGGAAGTGTTCAAGGTAATAAGGCATTTGTGTGCCTTGACGGACTGTAACTAAATGTAAACTTAAAAACGTTATTTAGTCTAAAGACTCTTTGTTAACAGCATTTTTTTTGTAAACCAAGGCTTTGTAATGTTTGTCGGCACTCAGTTGCACCATTGTGCTGTTATCACTCGATGACCTTGGACTTACTCCCACACGACTACACAACCAAGACTTGCCAATAAACACACACACACACACACTCGCTTTCACACCTTAGTGAGGACATCAAATTGACATAATGCTTAACCTTATCCTAACCTTAACCACTAGGAATCAGTGCATACTCCTAACCCTAACCCTAACCACAACCTAATTGTAACCTTAACTCTAAAACCAAATTCTTAGCCTCAAAAATGCCTTCAAATTCGTGAGGACCAGCATTTAGTCCCCACAACTGACTGCTGGTCCCTGCAAGTACAGTGGGCTTCTAATGTTTGGTCCTCATAAAGATGTTTAAACAAGTCAACACAAACACACATGCACACAAACCTATACATAAATCCTTTCTGCATGCCTATATTACACTACTAATCAAATTTTATTAAAATCTCAGGCTCAAGTAATACAAGTAGCACAGTTAACTGATAAAGTACACAGATATTCAGTTTGACACAGTAAATGTGTCAAACTTGGACCAGATTTGCTGAAAGATGTAGGAGCAGTGGAAAGGACTAGATGGAGAACAGATAATAGAAACAAGTTTAGAGACCTCGGGAAAACTCAAGTGACCATACAATTTTAGTTGGTAAAAGATACAATGTCCTTTTTTATAGCTCTACAGCTCTCTTTTTGTAAACACTTAGACTATTTCCTTTTTCTCTGAGTGATATTTTAAAATATTCATATGTAAAATAAGTGAATAAACAAACCCCCAAAAAATTCAGATTAAGCATTTTTATGCAGAGGAGTACATTACAGAACACATTTAGATAATATGTAACACATTTTCTTTGTTATATAATAATAACAAATATTTAAAGGGGAACAAATACAAGTCGTTTAAAATGAATTGCTCATTGGTTTCTATTTTAGAAAATGCAATTTTTTTGCTTTAAGCTGTAATGAAAAAGTATTCTTTACTCTGTCTTCTTGGAAGGCTTTATACGTTTTTGTACATCTGTTTCTGTGTGTTAAAATGTGCGAGTGAGTGAGTTTGTGTCTGTAAGTCTTTAAAGAAGAATGTGGTGGCTGCAATGAAGAGAAGCGAGCATATCAGAAGTATCTGAAGTTTGGCTGGCGATGCAAAATTTTTGTGATGCATTAAAACAAGCTGTTATGATGATATATAAGAGTCTCTGCAGATCGTTCCTAATTGCAGAGCTGGCAGCTGCTGATTGGTTCCATGATCAAGAATTGCTAAGCCTTGTATATAGTGTGTAGATACTTTTCACTTGTAAATAGGCACTGAGGTAGAGGGGTGAACTGCCTTATTATTTTCTGTACTTTTTTCTCATTTATTCAAAGGGTCTACCTTACAATATAAAGTGCCTTGAGGTGACTGTTGCTGTAAATAAAATAAAATTGAACTGAATTAGGGAGTTGGGGGTAGCACTTATCTTTTGTTTGATATTTGTTTCACCCAGGGTTTAGGTAGCACCTCCCTTTTTGGAATAACTTGTTTTGTTTGTTATTTCAGCCTTTGTTCACCCCGGAGTTTAAGCGTTCAGTTTGGTAACACCTTAACTTGTAAATTGGCTTCTAGGTATGGCTTTGGGGACCAGGGTCACAGGGTCACCTTCCTTTTAACCCTTTTGTTGCACTCCTGTACCCCTAGACCGGGACGTAACAGTAGATGTTAATTAATATTAACAATAATTCAATATCCAACCTCAAATCCCTCAGGTCAGAGGGTCAGAGTTTTACTGGCCCATGCACGTTGTTATTAGCTTGTGAAAAAAATTTTTTTATATATATTTTTAAATGTTAATGCAATTTCATTGACACAGTAATAAATTACTAAGTGAACAGTCAATCTGCATATTTTAATAAAACTTCTAGAGGCTTACTTCAGACTTTTCACTGTTTCACATAAAACAAATGGTGGTGATCAGAGCAGCTACAGAGTTTGTTGATCAGGTGCTTTGATAAAGACCTCCCACTTGCTTATTCCCAGTAAAGGTTTTAATGGCAATCACAGGAACAGCAATGCTGTTTTGGAAACTAGAAACATGTTTTCTTTCAATAAACCTGAGCTCAGCATCTCGAGAACAGCTCCGCCTCTTTGCTCTTCGTGGTGTGTAAACAAACAGCTTCACGTTAACTGTGCCAGCGTCATCATCCTGCTCCCGTTTCCATGGTGACAATGGCCCGTTACAAAGCCGTGCCTGTTATTACCACAGTTGTGCTTAAAAGGAAACCTAAACAAACTGGTAAATAT